AGGTAACAGCCTGGAGCAAATGGGCAAGGGTGGCCTTGCCTGTATCAGGTTGATGTGGTCCTGAAGGCTCAGCATCAGATCCGTCTTGTCATGGAACAGGGTGCCCAGAGAAGCTGTGGCTGCCCCATCCCTGGCAGTGTTCAAGGCCAGGTTGGACACAGGCCCTTGAGCAAGCTGCTCTAGTGGAAGGTGTCCCTGCCTGTGGCAGGGGTTGGAAATGAATGAGCTTTAAGGCCCCTTCCAACACAACCTGTGCTGTGATTCTATGATATCCTTGGGGAGGTATTGCTTATCTCCCCCAGCTTTCGTGCTCTTCTCACTGCTGGGCAAAGTTTGACTTCTCTTTCTGTCTGGTGCAGGGATTTTGAAGAACCGGCTCCAGTACCCTCCTCCTCTGCAAGGGCTGCCCTCCGTCGGCAGGATGACCAACGAGCTGACTTGGTACAAGACCTCCACGCTGGGCCACAGGGCTGTCCCTGCCGCCTCCTATGGCAGGATCTACTCGGGGGCGGGCAGCCTGTCGCAGCCAGCCAGCCGGTACTCATCACGGGAGCAGCTTGACATGCTCATGAGGAGACAGATGTCCCGGGAGCAGCTGAGCAGGCACAACTCAGGAGAGTGCCTGGAAGCTGTGCCCAGCCGCCGTGGCTCCAGGGAGGAGCTGGACACCATCCCGAGCAGGCATGGTTCTTCTGAGCACCTGGAGAGCGTCCTGAGCAGACATGGGTCCAGGGAGACCTTGGATCTGCTCGCTGCTAGGCCCAGCCAGCGCGACCGCGGGAGCACGCTGCCCCGGAGGCAGGGCTCCAGAGACCACCTGGACACCTTCCCCTGCAGATTTGGGTCACGGGAGCAGCTAGACTGTGGGCCAGTCAGAGAGGTGTCTAGAGAGTGGCTAAACACATTGCCAAGCAGGCAGGTGTCCAGAGACCGAATAGACACGTTGCCAAGTCGAGATCCTTCTCGAGAACAATTGGATTTGCTTTCTAGAAGACAGCTTTCAAGGGACCAGCTAGCATCGGCTAGACAAACTTCAAGGGAGCAGCTGGACTTTCTGTCCAGAAGATGTAATTCCAGAGAGCCTCTGGACACAGTGCCTAGCAGGCATCCCTCGCAGGACAACCTGGGGAGTCTGGCTCGGAGGCAGCTCTCTAGGGAAAGCCTAGAGCCGCTGGCGAGGAGGCAGCCTTCTCGAGAGACCCTGGAGGCCATGCCCAGCCGACACCCTTCCACGGAACAGTTAGATATCCTTTCCTCCATCCTTGCTTCCTTTAACTCCTCCGTCCTGTCCTCGGTGCAATCTTCCAGCACGCCTTCGTGCCCGCAGACCACCGCCTCTGCCATGCAGACCTCGACGCCCTCCGCACTGTGCCCCTCGACACCTCACTCCACCACCTCCCACAGCATTTCCGAGCTGTCGCCAGACTCAGAGTAAGTCTGTCCCTTCCTTGGCCAGGCCTCGGGTGTCACCTGCCTGCCCGGCCTCTTCCCAGAGGGGCTGGCTTGGGGGGAGTGGGCGGTGGGAGGGGGAGCCCCTGTGGCCAGTCGTCTCCTGGCCCGGAGCAGTGAGCAGGCAGGAGAACCTTCAGGAGCAGCAGCTCTGGGTGCTCGCATTGCAGCACGAGCAGACACATCGGTGGAGCTGGGGCTGCTGGAGGGGACTGCTGAAGTAACAGTGAGGGGACGTGTGCGAGGGCCAGGCTGGAGAGGAGGAGGGAGCCCAAGACCTGCAGGAGCCCTGCCTGCCCCAGCCGTGTTTCTCCCCAGGAACCCTGTCCCATTCATTCCTTCCCCTCCAGTTCTGCTCCCTGCTGGCATCGCTCCCGTTCCCATCCCTCCTTGGAGCAAGCTGCTCCAGCGGAAGGTGTCCCTGCCCGTGGCAGGGGGTTGGAGCTGGATGAGCTTTAAGGTCCCTTTCAACCCAAACCAGTCTGGGATTCTGATTCCTTTCCTTGAGCTTAGGGACTTGGAGATGGTTATCGCTGCCCCAGTGCAGGTGTGGATTCTGCCCTGTCCCCGTTGGCATGGCTGGGAGGCAGCTGGAGCCCGGGGGCGATGCCATGGCCTAAACGCTGCTTTTCTTCCCTCCGAGAAGGATCACGAGGAACGAGGGGCATTCCTGAGGGCCGGAGCTGAGCATGGGAGAGATGGAAGCCGCAGGGCCCTTCGCCTGGCGCTGCCAGCTGAGGTTTGGTGTCCCACGGGCAGGGGCCAGAACTGGTGGTGGTCAGAGACCCCAGCCCAGCCCTGCCTGCCCCTGCCCGAGGGGGCCGGGAGCCCCCCACCCTTGCCTTCCTGGGGTGATGGGTACAGTGTGAAGGTGCTAGGTGAGGGTGGCATCTCCAGCCCACCCCGGACCTGGCTCTCTGTATGCGGGGTGGGGGGCAGGGACAGGGGCAGCCCCGGACGTGGGTTGGGGGAGGGTTTTCTACCTTTTTGTATCTTTGTAATCAGAGAGAAGAGAAATTTCTATGGTTATTTTTACGGATGGTCTGTTCCCAGGACCTGGAGTGTTTGTTTCACCAAGAGCCCTTTGCCCGCCTCCCTGGGGTACCAGGGACCGTGATCCCAGAGTACCGGGGGCGCCGTGCGGGGCAGCCCTCCCGCTCTGTGCAGCACTGCCTTGTCCCAGCCCTATGGCAGGGCAGCCGCCCTCCTGCCCTGCACCTCCACACGTGTCTTGGTGCCACCCTCCCTGCTGGGGTCCCTCAGCCCCACAGCCAGTCCTCCCCTGCCCTCCTCTGGGACCCCTCCAGGGCTGCGAGTGGGGCTGTGGGTCAGTGAGAGCACAAACGAGCACAGCAGCAGCAGATTCCATGTTAGGGACCTGTGTTCTCTGCTGTTCGATCCCATCCTGTACCAGGATGTCCCACCCCTCTGAGCATTGTCTTTGCTCAGCAGTGAGCACATGGGTTTACTCACTGTGTGCTGTGCTCTTCAACCTGTGTTGTAGAGCAAACCTCTCGGCTGTGGGTCCCGGTGAGGAGCTGGGTGGCCACAGCCCTGCTCAGCAGCGGGCTGGGCTGGTCCCAGAGCCGGCACTTGCCCTATGGGGGATTTATAGCCACAAGAACAGGAGCCCTGGGCTCTGGCATTGCCCACAGGAACTGTGTAGCGGGTTCCTTGCGGGCTCTGTGTATGTACCCACATCCCTGCGGCTGCAGAGGACCCCAGCTCAGAGCACCCGGGTTTTGGGAGGCAATGATGAGCAGCACTTGGCCCTCTCTGGGAACTCAGGCTGCGCTGACGGGCGGCTCCTCTGCTCCCGGCTGCCTGGTGCTGCCATGGGCTGACACCACTCCTTATGCCTACCCCAGCCCAGCACGGTGCCCTGCTCCCTGCTCCTCACTGCCTTACAGCCCCGCGCAGCCTCTGCTGCCGTGCCACCATCCTTGGCTACGGCCCCACTCGCATGGAGGGGACACAAGGGCTGGGTGCTCGCTGTGCCCCGCTCCTGGGACAGGGCCTGCTGCCATGTTTACATGCTGCTGGGACCAGTGTGCCACCCGGCTTCGCCTTCGGGAGCAAGCTCCCTCCCACGTGCCACGGTCCTGGGCCCGTGCTGCTGCCGCACCGGGTCCAGGGCTCTTTGTGCTGGTGCCAAATGGGGAGCAAGTGACAAGTGCCAAAAAGAAGCAAGCGGTGGAGCTGGCGGCTGCCCCCGCAGAGCCGGGCTGGGCGAGGAGCAGGAGTCAGTCTGTGGCTTCCTCCCTGATTGTAGTGCTGTGGCCTGGGCTTGGGGAGCATCCTGCTTGGTTTGGGTTTGTTTCCTTGGGGGCTTTGGTTGGTTTTGGTTTCTTTCCTCTGTCCATCTCCCAGTGCTGTGGGCAGGGAGATGCCTGTGCCCTCCCTCGCCCCGGCTGTGTAAAAGTGTATCATGGAAGCGCCAGATTTGGAAATAAAGGTCTATAAAGTGGTGCTGGGCTCACTGCCATCTGTCCTGCACCCACACCTGGGGCTGGGGCTCAAGGCGATGCTGGGGGCTGGGGCTTCACGTGCTGCTTGAACCTGGCTGTGCCTGCGCTGGTGACAGTGCTGGCCCCGGCTGGCAGCTCTGTGGGGCCGCAGGGCTGTGGTTTGCTGTGGGGCCCAGCCGGGAGCTGCCAGCACCCCTGGCCAGCAGCCGGGTGAGGCCACGGGCATAAATCCACTGTCCAGGCAGCGCGGCCCCGGCTGCACCTGTGGGCTAGGAACGAGAACGGCGCGAGCCTGGTGCCTGCATCCCTGCCCCACGCTGCTGCTGGAGGGGAAGGAGCAGGTGAGCAAAGGGCAGGATTGATCCACGGCGCCTGGGCAAGGGTCGCCACCAGCCCTCACCCCCCGGCCCTCGACTCCGTCCTTGGCACCGGCCTGAGCCCAACCCAGCCCAGGGCAGCCACAGGGTCCAGGCTGACGGTGCTGGGAGCTGCGGCAGCCCGAGGCGAGGGGCGAGGGGTGGGGGGTGAGGGGCTGTGGGGCAGGGAGCAGCAGCACAGGGTGGGGACGGGAGCAGCGATAAGGAGGCAGTAAATAGCGCCCAGCGCTATCGGGCGCTATGGGGCAGAGCCTGTGACAGCCTCCCTGTGGTGCCGGGTGAAGGAGAAGCGATGGGCAAGCAGCAGCCACATGCCACTGCCCGGCCGCGGTGGGACCATGGGCACGAGGGTGGGATGGCAGAGCCAGGATGCGGGAGCAGGATTGGTCCCGCTGCTGGCAGACCGAGGGGTCTGCGTGTGGCTGCTGTGGTACCCCATTGTGCTGTGACCCACAGGGAGGAAGGGGGTGGCCACGGGTTGTCCCCCTCTGACAATGATAGGAACAAGTGGCTCTGACCCCGGTGAGCACGGTCCCGGTGTCACCCTCTGTGCCTGTCCCAGCCCCATCCCACTGCCCAGGGCACCTGGGACTCCCCAGCTCCCATCCTGCCCCTTGACTTCACCCCATACCTTGGCACCGCTCAGCCCAGCTCTGGTGCCCATGTTTCCAGTGCCGTGCCCCCATGGGCATGGGCCAAGCGTGACTCAAATCCTCCAAAACCTGCGGCGGTACCAGGTCACGGTGGAGCCCAGGAAGGTGTGATGGGATCAGCAGGATTCCGGTACCCGCTGGGGACCTTTGGAACAAGATAACGGCCGGGTCTGCGTGTGCTGTGGAGAGCGGGGCAGTTCACAGGGCGCAGCACACCCGTTCCTGCAGGTAAGCAGGGCTCGGGGCCCATGGAGAACACCCTGATGCGGTAGCTGGAGGCTGCAAGGCCCCTCCCTGCCCTGGACACAGCCCCTGCTCCATGGGGTGGGCAGGGGGCACCCACGGGGGGCACAGGAGGGTGATGGCTGCTCCCTGAGAGGTGCCCTGGGGAGGTGAGTGCTTGGCACCGGGTACCCAGCAGCAGCAGCAGATCCATCCCTGTGCCCGGCACTGGGGGCATGGTGGCACTGGAGCCATGGCTGCAGCTGGGAGCCAAGAGTGGGCAGGGCAGTCCCTGGGATGGGGTGTCCATGGGGACAGCGCTAGGCCTGCCGCAGCCGAGGGAGCCAGCGCAGCAGCAGGGGCTGAGCCGGGTCTCAGGGCTCAGGCTGGTGTGAATCCATGAGGCAATGGAGCCGGGCTGGCAGCAAGTGGGGACCACCAGGGCAGAGGGCTGGGGTCTGTGCACCCCACGAGTGGCTCGTGAGGCCGCTTGCCTGTGGGTGAGCATCTCAGGACCCACCCACTGGGTCAGCGTGGGGGCAGCTCTGGGGCTGTGGATCTGGGCAGGGACACCTCGGTTCCCCCATCCCATCCTGTGAGGGGCAGCCCCCAGCCCCGCTGCTCCATGCCCTCAGCTCACCCCGGTGAGTGCAGGGGCTGGGAGGGCGCCGGTGGGAGACGGCAGGTCCGTGGCACTGGCTGGGGCTGACATTCCTGCTCCCCTCATGTGTAAAGGGACAAAGTCTGCGGATGGGGTGGTTTGGGCTTTGCTCGGTGGCTGTGCTGCAGCACGCGGAGGGGAAGGGTGGTTGGCACCGAGGTAGGTCCTGTGGGAGGAGGTGGAGGGGGAGCCCCCCCTGCAGCCCAGCGGGGCAGTGGGGCTGGTGTGGGGCAGTGAGGCTTGTGTGGGTCAGTATGGCTGGCACAGGGCAGGATGGGCAGTGCTCACCGCAGGGTCCCAGCTCCCCCCTGCCTTCACATTGGCTGCTGCCCCATTCCCAAATCCCGGCACCCCTGGCCTCAGGGCCCATCCTGGCTGATGGCTCCATGGGGTGAGCGGGGCTGTGGGTGTGCTGGGGCCAGGCATTGCTGAGCTGCTCCTGCTGTCCCACAGTGCTGGCACATGCAGGGCCGGGTGGCCATGGCGGCAGAGATGGTGCTGAGCCACCGGGCACCCCACGGGGCGCTGAGCGAGGCCGACCTGGAGGAGGTGGCACCGCGGAACCCCCCTGCCAAGCCCTCGATGCGCCGCTGCCTCCACAAGAACAGGTAGGACTGGGGGCATGTGACGGGACCCCAGCCCCACGGCCACTGGGAGCCTGGCTCCGGCTGCCCCATCCCAGTGGTGGACACAGTGCGGACCCAGGGGTTGGTTCCCCCCAGCCCATACACCCGTGTCCGCACCCGTCCTCCTGTCAGAATGGACACGCAGCTCCAGTGGATGGAGCTGCATTCCCATGGGACCCATTGCTCCCCCCACTGATGTCCCTGAGCCCTTGTGCTCAGCCCGGCTCCGGCTCTGTCCTCACAGATGCTCGGCCTCCACCGCCAAGTCCCTGCTGTTCCGCTTCCTGCCCGTGCTGCGCTGGCTGCCACGGTACCCGCTCAAGGACTGGCTGCTGGGGGACATCACCTCGGGCTTCAGCGTGGGCATCATGCACCTGCCCCAGGGTGAGCGCCAGACCCAGGCTGCCGGGGTCCTGTGGCGGGGCCAGGCTGGGCCGTCCCTCACGTGTGTCCCTGCTCCGTGTCCAGGGCTCGCGTACGCGCTGCTGGCTGGGCTGCCCCCCGTCACCGGCCTCTATTCCTCCTTCTACCCCGTCTTCCTCTACTTCTTCTTCGGGACGTCCAGGCACAACTCCGTGGGTAAGCTGAGGGACCACGCGCTCCCACAGGGATGGTGGGGATGGAGCGAGGATGAGAGGGGCAAGCCTTCATCCATGGCACAGCATGGCCGCATCACTGGTTGGAGGGGACCTTTCTCGCCTTTACTTTGCCCCTCCAAGAAGGTGGTTGGCCAAACCAGAGCCAAAGCACAGTGAGTGGTGAGCCCAGCCCATGGGCACAGGTATCTGTGGAGCTCAGAGACCTCCTGGTGCTGACCCTGTGCTCCCTGCCTGTCCTCAGGCCCCTTCGCCGTCATCTCCGTCATGATTGGGAGCTTGACGGACTCCCTGCTGCCCAGCGAGAACTTCCTGGAGTCCATCAACGGCAGCAACATGACCGTCAATGAGGAGCGGCGGGACGCAGCCCGCGTGGAGCTGGTGGCCACCATCACTGTCCTGACGGGCATCTTCCAGGTCAGGGGCCCCAGCCTGGCTGGGAACGGGGCCCGTGGTGGCCCAGGCCACAAGCTGTGGGTCACTTCTGCCTCCTCCCCTTCAGGTGGCCCTGGGCCTCCTGCAGTTCGGCTTCGTGGTGACCTACCTTTCGGACCCGCTGGTGCGCGGCTACACCACAGCTGCCTCCGTGCATGTCCTTGTCTCCCAGCTCAAGAACGTCTTCGGGGTGTCCCTGGGCGAGCACTCGGGGCCGCTCTCCCTGTTCGTGGTGAGGGACTGCTCACCCCCAGGGCTCACAGAGCCCCCAGACCTGCCCTGGGGCTGCCCCGAGCCCATTCCCTGCTGTGTACTCTAGACCGTCATCGAGATCTGCCGGAAGCTGCCAGAAACCAACGTGGGCACCCTGGTGACCGCCATCATTGCCATGGTGGTCATCTACATCGTGAAAGAGCTCAACCACAAGTTCGCCGCCAAGCTCCCCATGCCCATCCCAATCGAGCTCATCACGGTACCGAGAGCTGCCCCAGCTCCTGTGGGGACGCAGCCGTGGGTGGCCCTGTCCCCTCCAGGGTGGGATGGGTGCCTCAGCAAGTGCAGCTCCAGGGCACCCATCCCCTCCTCCTCCTCCTCTGGTCCTGCTCTGGGCCTTGCCTCACTCCATCCATCCTCCCCAGATAATCATCTCCACTGGCATCTCCTACGGTGTCAACCTGAACGCCAAGTTTGGTGTCTCCGTCGTGGGCAACATCCCCAGTGGGTGAGGAGCCAGCACTGCAGGCACTGCGGGGGCCCCACATGCCCATGGCACCCCCATTTGAGCCCCATCTCCCTGTCTTGGCCATAGGTTGAAGCCGCCCGTTGTCCCTAATGTCAGCTACTTTGGGCAGGTGGTGGGCAATGCCTTCGCCATCGCCGTGGTGGGCTACGCCATCTGCATCTCCCTGGGCAAGATCTTTGCCCTGAAGCACGGCTACAAAGTGGACAGCAACCAGGTGATGCTCCGGCACGCAGGGCCCCTTCCCTGGTTACACTAAGCCTGTGCGCGCAGCACGATGCATGGCTCTCCCACTGCCCCTCTGTCCCTGCAGGAGCTGATCGCACTGGGCTTCTGCAACTTCCTGGGGGGCTTCTTCCAGTGCTTCGCCATCAGCTGCTCCATGTCACGGAGCCTGGTGCAGGAGAGCACGGGGGGCAACAGCCAGGTGGGTCTGGGCAGCTCCACCTCCCTCTGTGGGGCTGGATGGGGCAAGGAGCACAGCGGGCAGTGTGGAAATGCCCCTCGCCTCCTGCCCTCCATCCGTGCAGGTAGCCGGTGTCATCGCATCCCTGGTCATCCTGGTGACCATCCTGAAGATCGGAGAACTCTTCCGGGACCTGCCCAAGGTACATCTGGTCCCACAGCCTCTGCACCATGTCCCACCCCTGTGCCCATCCCACGGCAGGGGAACAGCAAGAGCCCTCCCTAGACCTGCCCTCAGCATCCTCATAGCTGCAGGGCCTTCTCTCCTAGGCCATCTTGGCTGCTATCATCATCATCAACCTCCACGGCATGTTCAAGCAGTTCAAAGACATCCGCATGCTCTGGAAGTCCAACCGGGTGGACCTGGTGAGGCATCGACCTGCAGGGGGGCCCCGGCCCTGGGGAGGTTCCCTGCGGGTGCCATCACTGACATGCCCCCCCCCACAGACCGTCTGGATCGTGACGTTCGTGGCCACGCTCATGCTGAACCTGGACATCGGGCTGGGGGCCTCGGTGGCCTTCGGGCTGCTCACCGTCATCTTCCGCACCCAGCTGTGAGTGTTGGGCCTGGGGCTGGGGCCTGGGCCCAGGGGTGGGGGGGCCTGTGGTGACCTGGCCCCTGCTCTGCTCCTGCAGGCCCCACTACTCCATCCTGGGGCGCATCCCCAACACTGATGTCTACAGGGATGTGGCTCAATACCAGATGGTAACATAGCGAGTGGGGAGAAGCTCCGCTGCAGAGAGGGTGCAGCACCCCAGGGGCTGATTGCTGGGGAAGAGAGCGGGGGCAAGCTGGGGAGGGAGGGAAGGGGAGCAGGGGCTCTGTCCCTGGGGTATCACCTCCCCATCTCCCTAAGGCACAGGAGGTCCCTGGTGTGAAGATCTTCCACTCCTCCTCCACCCTCTACTTCGCCAATGTGGAGCTGTATGCCGAGGCCCTGAAGAAGAAGGTACGAAGGAAAAGATGCCAACCCCCCCATGTCTCTGCTGCTAGCACCAGAGTGGTGATGGGGCACATTGTCTTGTAGAGTGGCATCAACGTGGACCGCCTGATTGAGAAGAAGAAGAAGGCCCTCAAGAAGCTGAAGAAACAGCAGAAGAAAGCAGAGAAGGAGATGGCAAAGAGGAAAAAGGTGCTTCCCTGCCGCAGGGACCTTGCCACTGCCCTCTGTGCTGTTTCCTCCTGGTCCCAGCCTCCTGCCCATGCAGGGTCCCGGTTCAGGCTGGGCCATGCTGGTGAGAAGGGGCACTGGGGCATAGCCGGGCCTCGGCGGCACACCCAAGGTCGGTGGGGAAATCGGGGCCGTTAATGATTAGGTGGTGGAGCCAGTGAGTCATTGGCCATTTAACGACTTAATCACAATTAAGAGCAGGAACAAAGGGTGTCCGGGTGCCAGCTAATGAGCCCGGCTCAGAGAAGGGCACCGGTAGAGGGGTGGGTATTGACGCATTCGGAAAGAGCCTGAAAGTGGGTGAAGGTGCGAGCGGAGCGCCCGCTGCCCGTGCTCTGATGCGGCCAAGAGCCAGGGCAAGGTGAGCCGGGGGGACACTGCCCGGCCCCCCTGCAGCGAGGCCGGTGTCGTCCCTCCCAGCACACGCAGGATGGGCAGAACGGGCCGAGCGTTGCGGTGATCGAGCTGAGCGGGGAGGAGGGCGGCGCTCCCCCCGCGCCCACCCTGCGCACCCTGGGGCTGCCGCAGCCCAGCTTCCACACCGTCATCTTGGACTTCAGCCCCGTCAGCTTCGTGGACACCGTCTCCATCAAGATCTTGAAGAACGTAAGGGAGGGGCTGGGGGAGCTTGGGGGGGTTAGGAGCCCCATTCAGGGCATCCCCGTGGCGCCGGAGGTGGGGGCCCGAAGACCGCTGCCCGTCTCCTTTTCCCTGGTGGAACGTTCCCTGCCGGTTTGCAGATCTTCAGGGATTTCCATGAGATAGAAGTGGACGTTCTCGTTGCCAGCTGCCCAGGTGAGCGATGGCAACGGCTGCAGAGACACCCACCCCTCGGGCATGCCCACCTCTGCGTCACCGCTGCTGGCCTGGGGCTCCCTCCAGTGTCCCCATCGCGGGGGTGTCCCGCGACAGAGGTGCTGCAGGTTCCCATGGGCCTGCAGCCCCCAGCGAGGCAGCTGGGTCCCCGCTGGTGGTACCTGTGTCCCCCGCAGCACAGGGTGGGTCTGGTGCTGAGCCGGGTGCCATAGCCTCAGGTACTGTCCCTGCACACAGTGCCTGTCCTCGCTCAGCTGGAGCGGGGCAACTTCTTCAGCGCATCCATCACCAAGCACTGCTTCTTCCCCTCCGTGCACGCCGCCGCGGAGCACGCCCGCAGGGAGCAGCGCCCGGCCCCGGTAAGCGCCAGCACTCACGGTCCCCATCCCCGTCCCCGTGACGGATGGGGGCCGCCACGTGAACCCCGTGTGACCCCGCAGCCGGACCTCAGCACCAGGATGTAGCCCCGCAAGAGGAGGACATCTGCGGAGCTGAGTCGGGACCTGCCACCCTCATGGCACCGACGCACCCCGGGCCCCATCGGCCCCCTATGGACTCTGCCCGTTCCTGTGCCACCGGCGGGCCTCGTCTGGGGCCAGACCCGGCGGAGGGGCGGGATGAAACCGTCGCGGGTAAACGCGGGCAGCGTTCCCCGGGCTCCGTTTAATGCACTTTCCTCAATAAAGGTGACCTCAGGCACGGCCGCCTTGGCTGATCCCGGCACTGCGGGGCAAGGGGGGCAATGGGGGGTACATGGGGGCACCTTCGGCCTGAGCCCCCCTGCGGCCCCTCTTCACCCGGACCCGCTGCGGGACCGGCTGAAGGCGCGGTACGGGCGGGACCCCGCACCCGGGACCTCCCGCCACCAGGGGGCGCCGCCGCCCGTCCGGGCCACTCCGCTCACGGTGTCTCCGCCCGTCAGCCGCCGTTGCCCCGCCCCGGTGCCGCGCAGGCGCGCCGCGCGCGGTCGGTCGCGACAGGAGAAGATGGCGGCTTCCTCGGTGTGCCGGGCCGGTGGTGCGGCCGCGCGGGCCCTGCTGCGGGGTGCGCGTCCCCCCGTGAGTCACCGCGGCCCGGCGGCGGCGGTAGGCGGGGGTGGGAGGCAGGGCTGGGCCGGGCCGGGCACGGCAGCCGCGGCGAGAGACCCCGAGGGCAGGGACCCTGCCGGGCCTACTGGCTGGGAAGGTCACGGGGACGCGGCGGCCGGGCGGCGGTCGCTATGGAAACCCGGGCCGGGTCGGGGGCGGCGTTGCCGGGTGCCGCCGGCCGCCGTGGTGCGGGGCTTTGGCCGGCTCCCGTCGCTCTGTCCGGGGGTGTCAGCCCGCCCGGAACCTGCGGCGCTGCGGAGGGTTTGCAGGCACCGGTTACCGAGCGGCACCTTCCCAGCGCAGCCGTGAAAGAGCTGCTCTGGGCAGTGCGTGCCCCCAGCCTGCGCCCTCGGGGCTGCCCTGCTCGGGGCAGGCGGTGACGGGAGCCTTTGCTCCTTCAGGCAGCTGTGCTGACTTTGACAAGGAACCGAGGCGCTGCCACGTATGCTCAGACGCTCCAGAATGTCCCCGAGACCCAGGTCACCACTCTGGAAAACGGCCTCCGGGTGGCTTCGGAGGAATCCACCGGGCCAACATGCACGGTGAGTGCGAGGCAGGTGAAGGGCTTGCTTGGAGCCCTCAGCCCTGCCTGCTGCAGAGTGACAAACCTACCGGAACCAGAGCTTTTCACAGAGGCCAACCTGCCTCTTTGTTAACTGGTGGGGCTGATAGAGCAGGGAAAGCTCTAGTCTGGATTTGTATGAAGCCTGTAGTCAAGTTCAGGTTTCCTCAGCCTCACTGTTGTTGTGCAAGCAGCAAGTGACCAGGAGGAGTTACACCTCATGCAGAGGGTTTTGTGAGGCTGCTCTGTGAAAACCCAAAACGTGCACAGGAAACAGCTGCTGGTGCTTATTCTGATTTTGGTGCTACTGGTACAGTGCCTGGGAACAGACTTCTTGTCCCTGCAGTTGTATCTGTGACCTGAGGCTTGAGCACACTGTTTGCTTCCTCTCCTGACATGTGTCCTCGATGCCTTTGCCATAGGTGGGTGTGTGGATCGGGGTGGGCAGCCGCTATGAGAATGAGAAGAACAACGGGGCTGGTTTCTTCGTGGAACATCTGGCCTTTAAGGTAAAGAGCTCTGCTGGGTCTGGCACAGCAGTCCTGGAGAGCTGTTCTCAATACAGCCACAGAGTGGTTTGGGTTGGAAGGGACCTTAAAGATCATCCAGTTCCAAATGTGCATATCTATTGAGCTCTCGCTTTGGAGGCTGTAGCTATTAAGAGCATAAATTGGGTCATCTGAATCCCAGAGACTTTGCACGTAGTATAGAAATAAACTTCAAAAGGTACCTAGTCTGTGTGATGCTCTTTGGGTATGCGACAACTTGCAAGCATGCATGAATTAATGTAATTCTTATTAACTGGTTGGTATTTCCCCTCTTAAAGGGAAAAAAAGTTATAAGTACCAAGTGAGACTGAATCTCTGCTGTGGTTCCTGTCCCTGGCTGGCCCAGCTGCTGTGGTGCACACACAGATGACCACGTTATACAACAGGTTAGCAGGCAGAGCTCAAAGCAGCATTTCCTGTAGCCATTTATTTTCCTTTGGTTTTCTTAGAGGACCAGCAAAGTTTTGAGGCTACAGCCCTTACTGCTCTCCCAGTGTGTCTACAGAACAGCCCTAGGGCAGGAGGTGTCTGAGCCTGGGACTTGCTGCCTTGAGTCCAGCCTGTGCCATCATAGGAAGCTGCAGCATCTGGCTTGCTCCTTAAGAGATGAGCTCTGTGTTAGAAGTAGTTTTCTGCTCCTACTGATGGATGTGATCCTCAGTCAGTGTTGTCTCTTAGTGTAGGTTTTCTGCTTCCCCGCTGGGCTTTTATTGGTCTTTCAAAGTACACTTCAACATCCTTTGGGTATTGTAAAGCCAAGTGTTAACTCTCTTGCTTTCTGCACTTGCTCTTGCCTTTCATGAATCTTGTGACGGGTTTTCTTGGTTTAGGTTTTTGTTGTTCTTTTCCTTGCTTTAGTTCTGCCCGAGAGGGAAATCTGCTCATTTCATAATTGTGTTTATTCTTTTAGGGCACAAAGAATCGTCCTGGTGCTGCCTTTGAGAAGGAGGTGGAGAGCATGGGTGCTCACCTGAACGGGTACACCTCCCGTGAGCAGACTGCTTATTACATAAAGGCCTTGTCCAAGGACATGCCCAAAGGTAGGGTGGCCGGGGACAGAGCTGCATTTGGAGTTTAAGCAAATGCATGTGCCTGTGTTTCTCTCCCACCAGCATCCCCTCTAACAACAGGCCAGGGAGCAAAGTAGCTGGGAGGTAAATTGGAGGTTCTAGTTGGTAGCTGGAGAGAGCATTAGCACTGCTAACATTGGAAATGTGTTACAGCTGTCGAGCTTCTGGCTGACATCGTGCAGAACTGTGCCCTGGAGGACTCTCAGGTCGAGAAGGAACGTGGTGTCATCCTTCAGGAGCTGAAAGAAATAGACAGCAACATGGAGGCTGTTACCTTTGATTACCTGCACGCCACTGCTTTCCAGGGCACACCACTGGCCCACACTGTCGAGGGGACCACAGACAACATCAAGTGAGCATCAGCAGGCTGGGTGCAGCAAACAGCCCGTGGGTTTGGTCCTTGGGGTGCACAACTGCAGCTTGTCAGCAGTGGTGACTGCACGAGGCAGCCCCAGTCTGTACTTGGAGGCGATCTGTGCCCATGGGCTTCTCGCTGTGTCATGGCTGTGCTGCCCCGTTGGTGCTAGTGACAGTCAGTGTGCTTGTCCACATTCTTTAGAATCCCCTCATGAAGGCATGAGGTTGGTGGGGCCAGGTTGAACCTTCTCCCATACTTGTCAGTTTGATGCTGTTAGGTTAAGAGCATGGGGTACTCATTAAAGCAGTGGCCTTGAGCATACATGCCTGTTAGCTCCATGACCAGGGTCAGCACTCTCTAGGCTATATCAAAGTCTTTTCTTAACTCTCTACCTTGGCCACCATTTTCCATTTTCTGTGTTCTGGAATTAGTGCACAGGGAAGACACCAACACCAGTCTTGCCTCTAAAAAGCATTGTTAGCCCACAACTAAGAGAATCAACAACATCCCTGCTGTCTATGTACTGTGAACTTGCTTCTCCTAAGCCTCTCATCCCTCCCGGCTCAGAGATGCTGATATAGTGGGTCTCTCTCTCTCTGTTCTTTCTAGGCATCTGACTCGAGCAGATCTAGCTTCATATGTTGATAATCACTTCAAGGCACCTCGTATGGTCCTGGCAGCTGCTGGAGGTGAGTTCTAGATCCTGGTGATTCTGGGAAGCCTGGGTATCTTCAGGCTGATGCTCAAACCCCTGTCACACACCTTTAATGTAAAATACTGTTAAATTAAGCTGCTTTAAGACTGCAACTGTCTCTCCCATTGCCAGGTATTTCCCACAAAGAGCTGGTAGATGCAGCTAAGCAGCACTTCAGTGGGGTGCCTTTTAAGTACAAAGAGGATTCTGTGCCTGTCCTCCCGCGCTGCCGCTTCACAGGGAGTGAGGTAAAGCTTGCACAAAACAAGCAGCTCTTGCCAAGCTGTTGACTGAATGTGAAGCAGTTACAGCTGCAGCTCAGAAGAGAAATTGTTTGTGTATCTCTTGAGAAGCTGATGATGTGGCATCTTGGTAGTGTCCCTGTTCTGTTCTTTGGGCTTATTGCCGCAGCGTGTTGGGTTTTAGATGGGACCCAATTCCGTTAGGAATGTGAGGCTGTTGCTCACATCATCTGCTGAAAAACTCCTATTGGAGCAACTGGTTTAGCTCAGTAGTGCCCGAGACTATTTAATTTCACTGGGGTAGTATCAGGTGCCCCGTTTTGTCAGCCTGGCATTGCACAGGCTGCAGCAAAGCCACTACTCATGCAGTTCTCCCCTGCTCATGTTCTAGATCCGTGCCAGAGATGATGGCCTGCCCGTTGCCCACATTGCTCTTGCTGTGGAGGGGCCAGGATGGGCTAATCCAGACAACGTTGTCCTCAATGTGGCCAATGCTATCATGGGACGCTATGACCGCACTTTTGGAGGTGGAAAGGTAAGAGGCTTGTCAGTGTGACAGGGAGAGCCTGGAGCCTTTTAATACAAGTATTCTGGAGACCGTAAGTGAAGATGCCTTATGTTGTGCTTAGCTCCCAGCTGTGCAGCAGTTACAAGTCTGGGAAGCAGGGTAACAGTGTAATCAAGTAATCAAGGCTAATCCAGCACAGTTTTGAGAGGAGTTGCTGACAGCTAAACTGAACCTTCTCTGCTGAGTTAGGAAGAGGTTTAATTGATGAGTTCTGAGCAGTTTATGTCTGCCCTCACAAACTAACCATTCAGTGGGGATGGTGATGGAAGCAGGACAGAGTAGTCTGTAGTGTCAAGCTTGCTTTTCAACTGCAGAGCGAGTGGAACTTGTTTAAAACCTGATATTGGATCCATTCTCATC